TGGTGGGGGGGGGGGGGCGGAATCTCTAAAAATAGCATCTGTGAGGGGAAGGCAGCAATCTGAGCTCAACTTATTTCATCTGGTCTGTTGGCCTGAGAAGCATGAGCTGGCAATAGCCATAGAGGCAGAGCAAACATCCCGGCGTTCCCGCAGAGCTAAAGGGCAAGGTGCTGAGGGAAAAGTACCGTAATAAGGGTGAGCACATAGCCATCCTTTTAGTCTTTCGTCTTCCAGGTGTTTTATGGCCTTTCTGTGTCCGAAGTGGTGTTTAAGCAGCCAGAGCTTGTGCTTGCTTTGTTCAGCCGGCGGTTCGGGGATGCGCAGGGGCCAGGGCAGGAGAGCGCCTGGCGCTGGGGCATGCGGGGAGCTCAAGGAACGGGAATCAAAAATGCGGACAGAGGATGTGAGGTGGAGCAAAGACTGTTGTGGTGGTAGTTTCCATTGTGAGTTTATTTCCAAGATCATTGGAAAATGTGGTTTTATTCATTTACAGAGAAACTTTTCTTCACTTGGCACGTCTCTATACCGAAAGCAGCCACTGATGTATATCGCATTGCTATAAAATATAATTGGCTTAACTGTAGAAAGTGTACTATCTGTTGTGTTTTTAAGAAAATGCAAGAAGGCATCCTAGAGAATCATGTCAGCAAAAACTATTCTATATTTTAGCTATACAACATCCTTTGAACCGATGAATTGCCAACTGGGAATTAGGAACCTGGGATGCTATATTTTTTTCTGCTGTACAAGCCTACGTAAGCCAGGCAACCTGCCTTACTTTTCCTGAGACAATAGTTTTGGTTGTGGGAAAGTCTTTGGAATATCACTGGGACAAAACTGAAAGAGTTCCTAAAAGATGAGAACTTCCCTGCAGGAGCATCTCTGGTTAACAAATGGTGGTATCTCCCATTACCACGCAACTTAAGAGCCAAAAGACCAAATTGCGCTAAGGTGTCTGTAGATATAGGGAGACATGCTCGACCTCTGCTCCCTGGCAGGATCTGCCCTACACTGGGACCTGTACTCATTTAGTTTCTCCAGTGGTTAGAATGTCTTGTTTAAAAAAGGCATTTAAACGATCTGCTTCTCCATAGCACTGGTGGGGCATAGGTTCTGTTCTTTTTGCCTCTCTAGATACAGTCTCTCATTATCCTTTCCATGGTTACTTGTGCAATTTTTTTTTAATCTGTATTCCAGAAAATTAGGTGACTTGTGCCTTGTTGATGAGTCTCCAGGGAATTCTTTGTCCCACTATTTATTAAACTTAAGTGCTTGATATCTGGGAGTTGGTTCTTCAGCTAGTGATTTCCCTTTGCTATTCCATAATGAGATTATTTCTGGGTAGTTTTTGCATGCAAATCCACTGCCAAAACCTCGGGAAGTTTTTTTCCTAATTCAACTCTTTATTTGTATGCTGCATAATTGCAGTTTACTGCTCTCTGTCAGAGGGGTTGAATCCATTGCCCTGGAATATATTGTGCTCTCAAATGGCTTTAAGGAGAGACAAACCATCTGATGGTCTTAATGTCTTTTTTCCTCACACTCACTGGCCTATACCTCATATGCTGTTAAATACTGTGTATCGACCTACTATATTTTGGCTTCATGTGATTTAGTATTGGTAGATAAATAAGGAAGCCATTGAAATGTTTATGCTTTTTATTGACTTAAGGTGCTTTGGAGAGCAGCATTAATCTACAGTTCAGTGAAGCAGTAAGAAAATGAAATAGTCCCTCAAGAGTTTTCTTTTGTAAATAGAGCTTTGCATTAAGCTGCTGTGAACTGGCATGCTTTCAGATTTTTGAATGCACTGTTTTTGTCTTCATTAGTAATTATAGCTGAGGGTAATAACACTGGAATTGTCCTTCATCAGAAATAACAATAAGACTTGATGATGTGGGTATGTGATGTGCTTTGCAAATGCTTGCCCTTGACCTCAAGCTTTAGGCCTGCCTCGCCGCTGCCTGTCGTCTGGTGCAAATGCTGGCTCCAACTTATGGTCACCTTAAAATGCTAAATTAGAGTGGTAGCCTCTTATGCCTGCTTTGTAATCATGGTGGTGTAAATGACCGGGCGGTGAAGAGGAATGAGTAATGTGGTTGTGATATTTAGTTGGCTCAAACTGCATCGTGAAACACAGTGGTAAAAAATGTTCTCTTAGTCCCTGCTGTGTTTGACTGTATTTACTTTGGGGGATCTGACTGTGAGACCACTATAGAAAACGTATATTTGGATATCTCAGTGCAGTCACCTGATATATAAGTGACCTTGGCAAAGTCACTTCACCCTTCTGTGCTTTACTTTTGCTTTAATATCTTTTTTAATGTGGGCTGACAATGGAATTGATTGAGTTTTGGGGTTGTTTTTTAACTGAGGATTTCTTTTTTATTAAAAAACAGAGAAGCTATCTTGGGAGGTTTCTCATGGAAAATATGAAGAATAGTGTTTATGTTTTTCTGGCCTCTGAAAACTGGACGAGAATATGGTTACCAAGCACTGCAAAGTTTACGGTGGTCTTTTCAGTTTTTTGCAGTATAAATTTTTTCCCCATTTTTCCATAGAATAATAATTTTCATTTCCCAGAGAAGCTTTTGGTTTGTGGGACAAAAGTCTTTTGCTGCTGTCGTTGGGAAAACCCGGAAGAAAAATGTTCTGCTGTTCTTACTGTGAGACCTCTGAGTACAAATGTCCTTACTTTGGAATAAACATTACTTTCATTTTAGCCTAATCTATACCACAGATTAACAATGTTTCTAAGATCTGTATTGTATGTATAACGGACAGATTTTGGTAGTGTTGATATTAAAGGATGTTGTATGAACCACAAAGCAGCATCTGCATCTGTTTGGCTCCCTGTATTAAATTTTTTGGTTGATTCTGCTATTTGACAGTACTGTCTTCTATTGAAGCCTTACCTGCACAGTTTCTCGATGTACAGGATGATGTTAGTTTAGCACCTATATTGATTTCCTGAAATGTCTTTTTACACTGGGAGAAGTAGGCTTTAAAGCCAGATCTAGTTCTAAGTACAGTTTACAACAGTGCTGTTTAGCAGAGAACCTGGTAATTATGCTGGGTTTTTCTGGGTCCTTTGGGAGGCTGGGTGTGCCTGGGAAGAAAGGTCATCTTCCCTTTTATTACTCTTTTTCCTTCTCCTGTCCTTCGTCCTCTTCTGTAGTAAATTGGTAGCCAGATTTCTTTCCCTTACCCTCTGCCTACCCACATAAATTACAGGAGGAAATAAAAGGAGGCTAAAACATACAACTTTGTTGTTAAATGCATGTTACTTCCAAGAAAACAAAACTTGTAGCTGATTCATTTTTAAGACTTTAACTGTAACTTATCTTTTTCTCTTTCTCTTTTGTATTGGCAGGATAAAAAACTTGAACATGCCTCGTAGCCCGACATCAAGTGAAGATGAAATGGCACAAAGCTTTTCCGACTATTCTGTTGAATCTGAATCAGACAGCTCCAAAGAAGAAACTATTTATGACACAATTAGAGCAACTGCAGAAAAGCCAAGCAGCAGAATGGAAGACAGTCAGAGCAACACATTAGTGATTCGAATTATAATACCTGATCTGCAGCAAACGGTAAGGCACATTACAATTAAAAAAAAAAAAAGTAAAATGAAATTATTAGCTTTGCTAGCTTCAATCTGCAGCAGATCTGTTCTATTTTCTTAAATTTTTTTGACATATTACAGGTGAAATTTATGTTGTAGTTTGTTTTAATGTCGAGATTTTTTACCCAGTGGTATGTCTGACTGATTGCCTAAACTAAAGGCACTGCCCCATCCAAGAGAGTGTATTTAGTATGTTCACTTGATGAAAGCTGTGATCATAAAGCAAAATACCTGTCTGATCTGCATTCGGAGGCATTTGGGTAGAAGAAAGAGAATTAGGCATCTAAAATCTCGTCAGAAGATGGGGGAAGAACCCCCAAATCACATTGTCTTTATGAAAGCCTCATACATATATAACCCCCTTGTCTTCTCTGGTTTCTCTTTACATGAGGTAGTTTGTGATTGACACTAGACTGGGTCTAGCAGGAGGTCATCAAATTCTCTCTCTCTTTGCTATATTAGTTGCCTTTCTCTGTCATCCTCCCACGAAAAGATATCCTTGTTAGATAGCTGGTGGCTTTTAGAGCATAAAGATGAGGAAAGAGAAGCACAAATAAAGCTTTCCTTCTTTGCTGCTATGCCTTTACTACACTGTTGTTTCTCAGACTTCCACCCAGAGAAATCAACACACCTGGTTTGGAGGAAGAACAAAGCATGGCATTGTACTGTTCCACAGTTTTTACAATGATATGAAATCACTATTTTATTCTCTCCCACCTCCTCACCACTTATACTGGAAACATATCAGAGAGGATAAAACAAACCTTTTCTGGTTTTCCTAGAGGACTCATTTGCAAGCTAACTTGTGGACATATGGCTAAATCTCACATCCCTAAGTCCATTGGATGAAAATAGAGAGTTTTCAACAAAAGATTTAATCTCTTACATCTTACAGAAAGAATTGAAGAGACTTTTCATTTGTTAAAAATGTCTGATTAATTCAGTAAATGACAATAAGTGTTGGGGTTTTTTTTTATTTAAAAAAAAAATCTTGGCTGTTCCTTACATGTTAGGAATCTATACAGGCCAAATTCCTCACTCTTTCTCACAAGAAACTACTAAGTTTTGTTTCTTTTATGGTTGAATGTGTAAAATTCAATGTCTGGAATGTTAGGAGCATAAAGTTGGAAAAGTTTGCTGTTGTAACTTTGTAAGTAAAAGAATCATTGTCCTCCACAAGTGCTATGATAGGAATAACAGTCTCATCCTGGAGAAGGTCTTGGGAGTGAGTTACTGATTCTACCTAGAACCACAACCTGTCCAAGTTTCTGATCACTTATCTAAACTACCCTGGGCCTCCTTGAATGCCGCTGTTGGGTTTTTCAATTGGTGGTAGGCATCAGACTTTTTTCATTTCAAAGATGATTATAAAAGTACATTCTTTTTATGGATGTGTGCTACATACATCACTCTGTGCTGACATTTAAGATCTACATCATACGGTGCTGCCATTGAAGATCTATCTCAGATGAAATTATTCCTTTCTTTTTAATTAAGTCCATTTTTAGAATGATAGAGATGGCCTGTCTACAGGCTGACAGGGAAGAGCTGTTTTGACAGTGTGGCCTTAGGTGTGGTTGTAGAGCTCTTTTTTTAACGCCCAGTCTGTGCAGTGCTGCAGAAACTCAGAGATCTGTGTTGGAGTTGGGAGCATTATTTCTTAAATTCTTGTACTTAAAAAATTCTTCTAGATGAGGATTGCTGCTGAAATTATGGTACCACTCCATTAGTTTATATGGTGTGAGATTAACCTTTATGAAGAGTAAGTGGTGTGGGACCCGAGCTGGACAGGAAGGCTTCAGAGGGCAGAGCAGAACTGAGGCTGCCGAGAGCCACACGGGATTTTTTGTTAAATCTTGGCTGAAGCAGTCATCACCTTGGGTCTTTCATTTCAGTATTGATTGAAATACTGAAATCCACTGTTGTACATCTTAAATTTAAAAGGATTTTGCCTGTAGTGAAGTCCTCTGTCAAGACAAGCTCTGACTGGACATGGTTAGGATTTTATTGATGATCCTACCAGCTTGCTATATCTTTGACTGTGTTCAGTGCTCAATGAATAGATCCAGTAAAATGGAAAGATTAGCTTTACTTGCTAGGTTTGCTCTGCTGTTAAAAACAGAGAGATGTTAGCCTCCCGAAGCCCTCTTATTTCATTATTCTATTTTTTAGACCAATAACAAGTTATTTATTGACACTATTGAAACAATTATTTTTTTTTAAATTCATTTTGTGCAGGAAATGAAATAAACCAAAAAGTGGTTTTGGTTTTGTGTTTCACTTGTTCGTTTTTATTGCTTTACACTTTGCATTTTTTTCCTTTTCAATAAACTCTTAATGAAAAGTAACTCAATTGTTTTAAACAGTTCTATAGCAGATGATCTCTTTCTGATTTAATTTATCAGCCCACAAGCTCTTGTACAGAAAAGTGAAATCTGGATTCAGGTTTGCAAACAGGAAGACTGATAGCTTAAATACAGTATAGCAAAGTTTGGAGAAGATCATAGTTCACAAGCTGTGTTATAGCTACAAGCCAAATCCAACGTACAACCCATTGCTGTATAATTATAACTAATTTAACATAAGAGTTGTTTAAAATTAGTCTGTTTAATCAAAGGAGCATGAGATGACATAATTTAGTTTTATGTCTTTATTCTTTATTGTTTTTTAGAAAGTATGATCAAGAATATATTTGTTTAAAAGAAGGCAAGTTTAGGTTTTTAGATAAAACTCAACCCACTGGGAAGCTTTAAATGCCCAGCTAAACTCACTAGGAATAAAAGTTTGCTCATCTGCAGTGACTGTGGTGTAAATTGCCTTTATTTCATTGCATGTATGAGATAAGCACCAAGCAGCATAAGTAGGATGTGCTGCTATAGAAATCTTCATACATTATCACCCGTTGTAGGAAATCTGTCTTGTTGCCCTTTTATTCTCATTTGAAACTTTAAAGATAATGTAAACCTTGACAAGCTCATACAAAGTTCTTATGAAGACTTACTTTTCACTTCTTATATCAATTCTTTTTTGTCTCCTTTTCAGTTCAGATGATTATCCAATGTATTGAAACAATACTTTGTAGAAAAAGTAAGTTCTTACTGCTTTTGTGCATCATCTGTATTCAAGTAGGTGTCATCCTTAGCACAGGAGGGTGGAGGATATTTAAATGAGCGACTGAAAGATTTCCTGAGCTCAGTAAAATTTTACTGAGCTCAGTAAAAAGCACTCCATATTCACAAACATATGTGGTTAGGAGAGTGGGTAAAAAAGCTATATCATCTGGCATTTAATTTCCTGATTTAATAAGCCAGGAGGCTCAGCTTTAATAGATCCTTTATGGAGGCAGGACACAGGTGTAATCTCTTTTGACCAGAAGCTTATTTGTGGTGTATCCAGCCCAGAGGGCTCTGGCTTGACGATGACCCCTACTCCTTGCTATTGAGACGGAAATTACAGTGACTGACTGGTTCCTCCTCTCTTTGCAATAGTGGTGCAGGGTTTCTCGGCAGCTTAGGCAATATTCAATTGCGTTTGCCCTTAACGTGAGGATGCTTCATCCCCAGGGCAGCAAAGTTCAGTGTCACGCTGTCAGCGGCACTGGTTGGTGACAGATCCGCATCTTTGCTCCTTGGTAAGCAAAGCTGGCAGTCAACAGCCCGCAGCAGCTTGCTGCCCAAGGCGACTGCCTACCTTGTGTCTAAGGGCAACTGTGTCTGTGCATGGCGTTGGGTGTCTTTTGGACATGGAAAACTGGGTCAACTAACGTGTCTGCGCTTCCCTCTATGATGCCTGGTGTATCTGACCTCTCCCTGGACCTTTTTGGTCTGAATCCAGGGTAAGTCTTCTCCTATCCAACACCTTTATCAGCCCGTGTAGGAACATATCCCAAGTGATTCTGCCTATCACTGGAAGGAGTCCAGTTGCTCTCCAGTAGCTGTTGTCAAGCAAATCTCCTTCGCGTGATATTTTGACAGTGATGTCCAATGTTTTGTGCTTAGAATTGTTCTTTTTCCCAGACTTCGAGAACAGATCTGTCAACCAATTGTTTTAAGGAATGTTTTCATCATTTTATTATCAACACACGGTGGTTGTTCCGCTCGCTCCCTCTGGGTTATGTTTAAAATCAAAATGCTCAGATTCATGTGTCTTACTAAATTCTGATGCTGAGGTGGGATTGGGTCTGCTGAAGACTTCTTTGAAATGCTTTCTGCCCATCTGTTTTGCTGCTCCACTTCAGTAACAAGCATTTACTGACTCCCCCCCAGCTTTTTTTTTTTCCTGCTTTTGCGTTGCTTTTTATGCTTTTGTATCTTTCCTTTACTTTTTCCAGTATTCATTGGCCTTTAGGATGAAGAATCTTTTCTTTTAGTGCTTTTCTGTCTTAGATAAAACACTTGTTTAGTTTGTGCAATTTTTATCTTACGAAGGTAGGAACCCAGTTGTCACAACTGCAGCTTGAGTCACATTTTTGCTTAAGATGCCTCCATTTTTACTTGTTTCTAGTCTGTACTGCCATCCGCTGCCTCAGATCTATTCCAAGTTTTCCTTTGCAACTTTTCACAAGTATTCTTCTGTACCCCGTTTTGTGACTGATTGTTCATTGCTGCTGTATGTTTATAGTTGATCTTCCTTCTTTTTATCTTCAGTTTGACAATGGAAACATTGTGGGTGCTGCTGACATCTGTTCTTATGCCCTTGATCTGAACAGGTGATCTGACTTGTCAGCTGATGATGTTGTGGCCAGACAGGTTTTTCTGACCTTTTGTCTCATGAATTGCATGTTTTCTGAACGCATTTTGATGAAGGAAAGCAGTGCCTCCAAGAATTAAGTAGAACATCGAGCACAAATCAAAATGAGCGACTTGCTCCACTTTTTTCATGATACCCCACTCTCATTTGCATTTTCCACTTTTCGGTTGTCACATCTTTAATATCGACATCTCCTATTGAAAGGAATAACTTGTATTTTGATATTCTGACAATCACATTTTGGAGGCAGCTGTACAAACCGTTTGTCATGATTCCTCTGTCGTAGCGCAGTTCTGTGTGATTGACAACTTTGTGAGTCTGATGAAAAAGATGTGTTGGTTGGTAGATTTTGAGTGGATTAATGTTATTCCTCAGAGATTCTGCATCATGAACATTATTCCCATTGAATTAATATCTTCCCTTTAGCTGGAGCAGGTGAGCTATATTTTTCCCTTGCTTCCAGTCCTTCTGTTGCACTTAGTGACTTATGCCCACCTGTGTGCAGGAATGCAAGATTATAACTGACCATGTCTCTCATGATCCAAAGAGCTTTAATATCAAAACCACAGGTCTCACATTTCAGCAACCAATTTTGACATGCTGTCTTGCTGCTAGACTTGGATTTTGAATGGCTTAGTGTGATTTTGGCAGTGTTTCTGAGACACTCAGGGCTTCTTTTTTTGTTCTTATTTGAAAGAACTGTTGCAATTTTTATAGCGTGTGTAGCTAACCTTCAAGACAAGCTATCACATTTTATCTGGTCTTGGGATGCAACAAAAAGGTTGGAAAGAACAGATCCCACATCTGTCAATGCAAAATATCTTTGTTTCATGTGTGTTTCTGTAGTTCTTTGCCACCAAACTACCCCCTTTTTTTTTTTTTTTTTGATAGTAAGTCATTGAAGATTAAAAAAGTTGTCCAGCTTTTTTGGCTCTGCTACTGTCTTGTTTCCTTGTGGTCACTGCACCATGTGCATCTAACGAATTCTTATTTATTTCATAACTAATGCAATCTGTGTGTAGATTCTGCTGTGATTCAGCTGACGTTTTCTCAGGGTAGAGAGTGTGGCAGTAGGTAACGACTTGTCTACATGATGACTGTGGTGTTCTCTGTCCCGGGAGGGCTGCCAGACGGGCAGAGGAGCAGCCCAGGGGAGGTGTTCCAGGGGCAGGCTGATCTAAAATACACCTGATGCAGCATTTGAGTGGTCCTTCTTATCCTCTTGCTCAGCAGCTGCCTGCAAGAGAGTGGTAACAGCCTCCCTCTCTATCCTGCCTGGCTTCATGGGAAGCATAAATAATCACTTTTCTCACTAGTTTCACTTATCCGAGTCTGAGAAATTTTGGTAGGAAACAGTTTGCTCAGGTATTGATTTGCTTTTTACATCATTGATCTTAATTCATTATAAATTACCAATGGGATCAACACTTATTAAAATAAGTGCATTTTTGTTTCTTGTAAATCACTAGAAAAGCTAGGGCTGTGAATACATTAGTTTGTGAAATTACTAGTTTCAAAGTGTTTCCATATTTATTCTGGCATTGAGGACTACAATCATGGAAATGTACTGATAAAAAAAGATATATCTGTTAAAACTTTTGTTTGGCCCACGTGCAATCCCTGCATCCTGTGTTGCATCATGAGGGGCTGGGTCGTCCTTTGAGTGGGCAAAGAAGGGACTCCTGTGCTGTAGCTCTGCCGTGGCAGCTTGCTACAAGCCCTTCTCATGGCCCAGTATGGGGTGAGGCAGCAGCACCGTACATTCATAACGCACATCAGAGGCAACAAATTGGTTTCTAGGTATTGCCATCTGCTGGTAGCTTGTAGTCAATGGCTGCAATGTAAGCTACAATTGCAAAATTCCTAAATTTTTTAAATTCCAAAATTCCAACTTGGTAAGAAGTAGAGAACTGGAAAGACTTTTCAAGGTTTTCCAGTCCTCTGCAGCTTCACGTCATATAATTCCTTCCATAAACTTACCCCAAGATAAATGTAGCTTAAGATGATTTAGAATTCTTGCCTGAATACCATTTTTTTGTGAAGTTGTTGCGGATTGGACTGATTGTCAGAACAGCCTAGGAGCAAGTGAGTGGTTAAACATCTTGTAACATCCCTTTCGCTTTTCAAACAGGTTTGCCGTGAAGGTGTTCTTTCTCTGAAGAAGGATATGGTCTCTGATGTTTGTGGAAGGACTTGAAATGTCCTGTGTTTTCACAGTATTTGTGCATTAGTTATTATAGAGGAACGCACGTCTGAAATATAATTCTGTTGATGTATGTTTTGGCATGGAATTTGTAGGTTTATTGTGTATGTTTGTATATATTTATGACAGTTGTAAATTTTAGAATGTAAGATACTGTTCAAATGTTTTTTCATTAATCAGATTTTTTTAATAATTTCTCTCTGCAGAAATGCATTAGATTTAACCCAGAAGCTTCAGTGTGGGTTGCAAAGCAACGAATTTTGTGCACTTTGAATCAGAGTTTGAAAGATGTCCTGAATTATGGACTGTTCCAGCCTGCAAGCAATGGTAGAGATGGGAAGTTTCTGGATGAGGAACGACTTCTTAGGGAATACCCACAGCCAGTGAATAAAGGAGTTCCTTCACTAGAGGTATTTTTAGATCTAATATCTGAAACGTTTGTATTCTGATAGAAATTATACAGTAAGTGGTATTTGAGGTTTCTATGCATCTGAATTGCATTTAGGAAATAGGGATCAGCAAGTCTGACCTTGAACCCTTGCTCACAGAAGTGCTGGTATTCATGTGCTTGGTGGAGCTGTTCCATGTGTTATCCCCGAAAGGTTGCAAAGAATCAGTCCTCTGGGAAATTTGATTTTGGAGTTTTCCTCTGCTGAGGACCTGGGAGATGTATCTTACTCTGTGATTTAATAAAGAAATGTAAGGTTCTAGATTAAGCTTTTGGGTCTCTTATTAGGTTTGCAATAGTCGCGTAGCAGTTGCTGAATAACCAGCCTTTGCTTTCTCCCAAAGAGAGGGTCTGTCTTTCTCAGTGAAGCCTTTTTTTTTTTTTTTTTTTTCCTTCATCTAGTTCCTTCTGTGCACTCTGGCTGTCTCCCAGGAAAGCAGTAAGGGAAGAGAGGGTGTGTATGTGTGAAGCAGTCACACACAGACACTGGAATTTCCCCCATCACCATTGCTCATGCAGAGGCTGTGCAGCTGGGGGATAAACTAGGCAGAATTATTGTGGCACTGGGCAAACATGGAGCAGAGCCAGATCACACTGAAACGCAGTATAGCAGGAAACTGGGGCATGAAACTAGTATTTAACTAATTTTGGTGTTACCTGTATGGTGGTACATCAACCACTAATAATCTGCAGTTAATAGACTTACTCCACTGTAACACAAATCCAAGAAAAAAGAACCAGGGTCCAGAGAAGGTTTCAAGTCCCAGCTTCTCTAGCAAGTTTATTTCAGAGATTCAAGCACTGATGTCCATATTATAGCCATAAGCAGGTTAAGTAATCACTTTATTTTTTTTCTGTCATGTTCAGTTTCTTGCATGTTCACAGTTTGCAAAATTCTTCTCACTGCAGCTGAAGGATTGCAATTCAGGGGTTAAAAGTGGTCTTGTGAAAAGCCAGTATTAAAGCCTCATTCAATACAGTCTCCTTGTCCAACAGACTTGCTGCATTCTTAGAATTCTGCGTGGTACAATTAGATAATAGTAAATTATAATTATGTAAACCCCACGCCATAGATCTTGCTGCTCTGGCCATAGGGTAGCAAGCTGTTCAGGGTAAGATGTGAGTGAGTTTCAGCCAAAAAAAGAGTCAATCCTCTGAACCTCATTCAGAGGACCAGTCCTGTTAAACATCAGGAAAACTATTCCCAGGTGTAAGTCGTGCCTGTGTTGATTAAGGGATTTTTCAGGAATTCTTTTTTTTTTTTTTTTTAAATTTCAGAAATGCTAAGCTGATATATTGAAATACATATTTTTTTTTATTTAACGTGCCTTCCCAGTTCTTCTTTCTGCCTGAGACTATAAATGAAAGTGCACAGGTACCCTTAGGGAAAAGCTCTTTTCACTGTAATTCTTACTTATTTATGTAGATACTAGGGATTGATCTCATTTCCCATACACCTCCACTGATTTCAGTATATTTATACAAGATACAAGTTTTGCTTCCACAAACTGTACAACTATGATGCCACTATGTTAAGCAGAGTGCTGATTATTGGTGAATATTCAAAATGAAATACTAAGCCTTTTTTTGAATTTTGCCTAAATCTACATCATCATGTATGATACTTTATGGTAAGGTCAGAAAATTATATTACAAGTTTTTAAGCAAAATAGGACATTTTAAATTTACTCTTTTTTTCTTCCCTCAGTTTCGATACAAGAAAAGAGTGTACAAACAGTTCAATCTTGATGAAAAACAGCTGGCCAAGCTTCATACGAAGGTATGCCCAATTTACTGGAGAAGTTAGCAATTGCCGACTTAGCAAAGCAATGTGTCTGAGAAACTGGAAATAAGTAGGAGTTCATTACCACCTGGGCCAATTGCTGAACAACAAACAGTATGTGCTTCCAGCACCAAGAGGAATGTGTGACTTGTGATCTGGGAATTTCTCTCATGGGAAAATTCCCATGGTTGACTCTTCCATGTGCATACAAGTTATTTTAAATGAACCTTACTTCCTAAGTACAACGTGCTTTCAGCATGCTGCAAAATGCCAATCTATGTGTTTAGACTCATTTGCAGGTCAGTATAATAATAATAATGATCACCATCCACCATCCTAATTTCTTACTGAATGAATCTTTCAGTCATTTTTTCCTTAAAACTATGAAAACCAGAATCTTCTTACTGTGTTTGACTTTTGAACATTATACACCGTAGGGTTTACGCTCTCAGTATAAAGTCACGTTCCCCAGGAATGTGAATTAGCTACTGTTCAGTGATGTCAATGGCTATTGACATCAATTGACAGAATATTTCACTTTTAGTCAAAATTTTCTTTTTAAAATTAGAAGATGATTCATTTGTCACTCTTTGTTTCAGGCTAATTTGAGAAAATTTATGGATCATGTCCACCATCTCTCAGTGGAAAAAATCACAAAGATGTTGGACCGAGGACTGGACCCAAACTATCATGACCTAGAAAGTGGAGGTCAGAACAATAAAACTAGCAGCATAAAGTAGTACCTTGGGTTTGTTCAACCTAAATTGATTAACAGGCTGAATCTCACACATTCTTTCTGTTGCCTTCATAACTCTAGGCTAACGGAGTCTGTATGGTTTTGCTGTCCAAAGGAGAAAATTGATAATTTACTATTTTCTTTGAGCAGCATTTTTAACTTACTGTTTTTAAAGCAAATGTTCTTTATTTTATAAATTTGCTTATCTTTTTTCAAGTATGTGCTATTCTCTTCTTTAGAAACACCCCTAACTTTGGCAGTTCAGCTTGACAATACAGTAGAAGTGATAAAAGCTCTGAAAAATGGAGGAGCACATTTGGATTTCAGAGCCAAAGATGGAATGACAGCTCTGCACAAAGCAGCCAGAGCCAAGAACCAAGTAACCCTCAAGGTAAATGCTTTCAGTAGCAAATTATACATTATTTTATAGAAAAAAATATATAAAGGAGAATGTTTTCAGTTAATTACTGCATTGTCCTTAATGGATCCTTTAATATATGCTTGTTCTAGTGCTTTCTTGTGGCTTTCAAATCTTAGGATTTGCTTTCAATAAAGGGCCTTTGATTTTCTGATTTTTTTTTTTTTGGTAGGAAGAAAAAGTGATGAAATTTAACTGTATTCATTGATAGATTGGGAAAGATCTGTCTGAAGAAATATGAATAGCCTTATTGTTGCGTATCTCTTATACCTTAACACACTCTCTTCTGTTTTCTTTTTGTTTTAACAAGTATTCTTAAATCACCTTGATATTCTAGATTAAGTCTTATGTTTATGGCTTTTGCTTATTGCCTTTTGACAGATATGGGAATGGCATGACATTTTTGATAAAGCATCTTGTAACCGAAGAGGTGAATGTGCTGCAAAGGCAACGTGGCATTTTCAGAACTGAGATTTCTAAACTTAATGAGAGGATGGAAATTGGACATTGCCACTCACCCTTTCCTTGCTATCCCTGTAGACTCCTTTAGATCCTAATTCTTCCGAGGTCATTCCTTGCTTAACTTGCTCTGTGCCACAGCCCATTATATCAGCTTATAAAGAAGTGAGCAAAAAATGTATGTTATGGCAAATACCGACCTTGTAAATACTTTTTCAGGTAGAAAAGTCCCTTTATAGTTAGAAGTCCCTCCAAAATATATTTTTTCACAGTTTGTGATTGCTTTTAGACCCTTTTAGAGCTTGGAGCATCTCCTAACTACAAAGACAGCTGTGGCCTGACACCACTGTACCACACTGCTGTTGTGGGAGGGGATCCTTATTGCTGTGAGCTGTTACTTCACGAACACGCTACAGTCAGTTGCAAAGATGAAAACGGATGGCAAGAAATTCATCAGGTAGGAAAGATGACTTTTTGTTTGGAGTTGCATGAGGAAACGTGCCATGTATGTTCTGTGGTTAAACGCTGTTTGGGTATGTTTAGTCCATGCATGCACAAGTATGGAATTTCTTCCTTTTTCTATTTGCTTATTACTTTGCATCCTGCTGCGGTGAATTAGAAGTGGAAACTGTTCCAGTGGAGCTCTGTAGTTTTGAAATCCTATGGTTACTGTGTATTTTGCTGCAGAAATTGCATGAGTCATATTTATGTAATGGACTCTTGGAAGTTTAGCATCCTATTAGTGGTACTTCAGTAAAAAAAGTGTAACTCAATCTTTTTGTTAGATGCCAATTTTAGTATCCTTGGTAATGCTTCTTGCGTGTTTGTCAGAGGTACTTTCTCCTTTCTCTCTGGTGAACTTTACAGGAAGATTTGGATTCAGGATCCTGCTGCTAGGATCATAGAATCCTTCAGTGTGTTGCACTGAAGGATGTTAAACTCTTAAAAGCTCACAGTTTGAGTCAGTTTTCATTCCCTGCATGTGTGGAAAATGGGATTCTAATGATTTTTCTTCTAATGTTTGTACATGGGTTTTCCTTTCCTCTCTTACATATTCAGCATGTGGATAAAGGTGGTAGCGTTCTCTATAAAGAAAAAATATTTTAAAAATAATGAGTTATTTTGAGTTTCATGGTGCTCGTGATACCTTGAGCCAGCTACAGTGCCAGAATTCATCTGGCGCTGGCACATCTTGGTCAGCTTCACCACAGCTATTGGAAAGGTAGACCTCCTTCCTCACCAAAGACCTAAATTGTATCTCTTAAAAAGACCTATAATATTTGGTAAGGCATTTTCTGAAAAAAAAAAAAATTTTCTTTGAACTGTTGTATCTTGTCTTTTCCAGAAACACCTGAGTATTATGCAACAGTTGTGTAAGAATGCTTTCTTAATTTCTCTTTGCATAGCGATAAACTCAGTAATTTACAAAGTTTAAAGATTCTAGCAGTTCTAATGTCATTGCAGCTGTTTTATGCCTTTCCTCTGTATGGATGAATTTGAGTAATCATAAAAAATGGAACTAATGTAGTATGATCAGATACATAAAGATACAAGTAATCAGTCTGACAGGCCTGCTTAGGTTATCTAGGCTCACTTTCTTTTCTGTGCGCTAATCTTTTTAGTAGACAACTTCTTTTCTTTGAAAGAAATGGGAGATAGCTTTGGTACCCGCGTTTGGGCAGGGATCTGAGCTTTTTCACTGTGTAATTGTGTTCAGATCAAGGTTGTTTGGATCCATCTCTAGTAGGAAAAAAAAGGATTAATTTACTACCATCATTTCTGAGGATGTGGAGGAAGCGGATTGTATAGATCAAAGTATTACCCCATCTGGACTCCCTGAAAATGTAGACAAAAAATCCCTATTTTGAAAACCCAGCCTTATACACATATGGTTATTATTTCTCGTAATGAAACAGAGCTTTCCAAACCCACTGTATTGGTTGTAATCCTAAATAAATCAATGTTTACAGCTGGATTACAGGCAATCTGTTTTGAGTAATCAATAATACAAGCATTCCTCAGTGAATTAAGAAAGATGGTGATATGATACAATCCCATATGTTGTTGTCTGCGTGAAGAAGGCAAAGCTACCTTGCATGGCAAGGAACTAATTGGTAGCAAGTATACTTTTCATTTTGCTAACACAACCTTTAACTGTAGAAGTTAAGCCTCTGGCTTACCCTTATAGTAAAGAGGAAAAGGTAAGGTGGCAGTTCATGCTGTGCTAGGATAATAATAAAAATCTCTGGAGGTACCTGTCTCTCTCCATTGACTGGGGAGCCCTGATGAATGGTTTGGACAGCTCACCTACCACGCAGACCCCTATAAGGAGGGGAAATGCATCTCCCCTGCGTTGGTTGGCTTCCAGCGCCTCCCCATAAGCTGAGTAAGCGTTATTGTCAGATTGGCAAAGAGGAGGCAAAACCCGCTCTCGCAAAGGAAGCGAAGTGGAGAAGGGGCCTGGTTTTCGTCCAGTTTATTGTAGTAAGAGTAGAAAGCTGGAATTGGTTCTTGTATTTTATGAGTCATTTTCATAATGACATCTGCATATTCATACCTAGATGTTGAGTGACGTTTAGAGACTAGACAGAATTGGTAATTTATAGCTAATTGAGCGTTTGCTCTGATTTCCCCACAGTCAGAAACAGTTATGGTTTGGTGCTGTTTCTCCCTTTGCTTGTTGTTGGATGCTTGCTTTCTGTTGCCTAGCATTAAAATGTTCCTGTTTTAATAACAGCTAGCCTAATGTCTCCATTATTTTGGCAAATAATTTTTAAATAAATAAACTATGTAATAAACACTGGTGGGTTGGTGTTTTTTTTTTTTTTTTTCCCTTTCTGTGTGTTGAAAATGGAAAATGGAGGAAGAACAGATGTAATGGTTAGGATACTAGACTGGGATTTGGGATGTGTCACAGATTTAATTTGTGGTGTCACAGATTTAATTTGTGTATTGAGCAGTAGACTTAGTTTTTCTGATCCAAACTGCAAGATGTGTAGGTTTGTAACTCCCACTGAAGTCAGTAGTAATTGGGCAGCTAAGAGTGAATGGCTTCGTCTACCTGTATCTCTCAGCTTAAATTCCATATTATTATACAGGAATGATACTGATCTGAGATGATATGAAGTTAAAAACATTACATATTTGGAGGTGCTCAGTTGGTGTGCTATAGAGAAGAAGATAGTCAAGTAAATGAGACTGATGAATGGAAATACTGTGATTTTTCTTAGACTTACTTGCTAATCGGGAAAGTTTCAGATTTCACTGGGGTCTCATTCACAGAGGTTTATTTCCAAGTATTCCAAGTCTAACATTTTATTTGTGTGGCTGATAGAGTAACTCTTGAAGATTTTCTCTCTTTTGGATCAGTGCCCTGTGTCTACTGTGCGTCTACTTGACATCACAGAATGAAGAAGATTATTACTTGAATTTTGGCCAGATTTCCCCAAACTGTTTTCATACCTTGAAAGGCAAGCTTTAGAAATCTGATCATCTTCAGTGCCATCTAGTGGGCAACTTTCCGAAGATTAGCAGGACCAAAAAAACCTCTCTTTTGTTAGCCTGCTTGTCACATTTGTCAGTTATGGATACTAGTGGATAAAAAGTGTCAAACTCTGTATTTTCTTGATACCTGAAATTGCCTTTCCTCAAATAAGCAGGTGCGTAAACTTATGCACAGACTTGCTGTACCTGAAGTGCGTACATTGGCCTTTATGGGCAGGTATGCACATCTAGGTGTTAGTCCTCCCATTCAGTCCAGGGGTGGTTCTAAAAATTAGACCCTAAGTAAAATTGCATCTTCTCTGCTAAAAATCTTTACCTGGAACACTTGCCTAGGTTGTATAATAACCAAGACATGAATGCATCTCTTTACAGGCTTGCCGATATGGACATGTCCAACATCTAGAGCACCTCCTCTTCTACGGCGCCGATATGTGTGCGCAGAATGCCTCGGGAAACACAGCACTGCACATCTGTGCCCTGTACAACCAGGTGAGCTGGCACACGCCTCCTCTGCCGGCAGACCCAGCGCTGCAGAGTCATACCGTCCTCCTTCAGGGACACAAAGTGACATAAAGGTCCCCATCAGGAGCTGAGGGGTGCCTGGGGTCCCCTCTGCCTGGCTAAGTGGGGAAGATGGGTCCAGGGAGTCCAGTCCCATGGAGACTGGAAACAAGTGCTGTAAGAGAATGACATATAGCCAGGAAAACAAGGCATAATTGGGGTACAAATGCTAAATCTTTCATGTCCATCCACAGAAACAGAAGCTTGTTGAGTTTTCTGTTGAAGAAGTTTACTGGTTTGGTGTTAGGTTTTCCTGAGATGCAGTTTCCTTGCTTTTAATAAATGCGTTTTGCGATAAATTTCCCATTATTATTGATCTGTACAGGCAAGTTACACTGAAGAAGAACGTAGCTCATTATTTTTCGTTTGTTTTATTTAATATGCAATGAAGTGTTACAGGTTTTAAACAGTGGCCTTAGAAACTAGAAAGAACATAATTAAAAACTATATTATCAGTATTTTATTCACTGATTACAAATAGGGCTGCTCATGGTAGGTGGCAAGAATATATTAATTAGAAAATAAAACAACACCATGTTCTACCAGCTTTTTTTTTTTTTTTTGTATCATATCTAAATATTTGTTTCCTATTCAGAATTTATTGCTGTTTTGCTAGAATTTAGAATTAAATAAGAAATACTTGGAAAATACTATGGAAATGTATCTGTTGATTATACAGAAGATACCTGATTCTCTGCTGTTTACAACTTGTGTAGTCGTTTACAAATAATAGAACTATTTGATTTGATAGCATTTTATGCTCTCTTTGTGTGGATGGGATGGGGAGCGAATGAGTTTTACAACGATGTTAAAACACAGCGTGTATAATTTTACATTGAATTAGGAAAACACAAGTCATGAGATGTGACTGTAACTAGTGAAACATCTGTTAAAGCATCTGCTTCTTAATTAATTACCATCTCAGTTTTTTTCAAAGGTCTTGTCAAGACAGATTCCTCAATGAGGTCTAAAATACCCTCAGCTTTTTAAAAAGTAGAATTTTGGGAATAACTTGACATTTTTCAAGACTGTTGACTTGATGTGCATGTCATAATTGATATCAATTCATAACTAGTCTAGCCGTACAAATCTTCCCCCTTAATTGTGATTATTTGAAGTATGCAGCATATCAGTGGGAGCAGTGCCTCTCTGGACTGCTTCATGCTCACTGTCTACCAAGCGTCTTCAACAGGCTGTCAAGTACCTACATCAACTAGTTTTAAAGTTAACAAGTTTCTCTGCTCAGTTTGGATAGCTTCTGTGATTGTAGGCATACAAAGCTTTTGCAAGTTGGCACTTCAAAAATTCCTAGAAAATTTTGCAGAGAAATGAAATTCACCTTCATCTCAACAAGAATTTTGCATTTAGGCTTCACATCAAGAGCTTCACATGTGTAACTATAAGCACTTCTGTTGAAAAAAGTATTTAAAAATATTCACTTTAACCTCATTTACTTCACTTTTCCTGAGTAAGAATTTTGAAGCCCAGACCATAATGCACATATAAACTTAAAAATGTGAAGTCACCTCTGTTTTTTTGTAACCACTTTATTGCAGTGTTCTCATGACTATAGTTGTTTACAAGATCATATGCTTTTAGCAAAGGTTATGCAGTATGATGCCGAAATTAGAATAATCCTGTAGAATGACAGTATTTTTCATGTAGAGATGTGTTTTTCTCCTGACGTCAGTGGAAAAAATTATTCTGTAGAAGACTTAGAGAATTGAAATTGCATCTTCAAATTTGCAAATATTTTTATAAGCTTGGCTTTGTGAATGGAAGTTTAACATCTTGTGACTATACTGTCATGCTTCTGTTTTCCTTAATCAGATATATATGAAAATAAAAAGTTTTTCTCAGGACGCTGTGAACAGTAACCTATGCTGATTTTTCCAGTGTCCCTTTTATTGAAAGTTATTATTAGCTAATGTGGAAGGAACAGTGTTGGCCTTTTCTGGATGGAGAGGATGGGAAGGAAGCAGTATGCTTTTTACCTCTTGATTCCTGTAGATGGAGTCATTACCCATTTGATTTTTCCCTTCCAGTCTTCCCTGGGGAATTTTCTTGGGATACTTTCTGAAGTTGGTAATTCTGTTTTCCTGAGTGTCAGCTAAGTGTTAATCTGAATAAATTCTTGGTTTTTAAAGTTACTTCGTGGCCATCCAGTAACTGAACAAAATCTAGATAGATTTTACACCTCTGTATTTTGCAAATAACAATGCTGGGGTGAAGTGTGCCTCCTTTCAGTCAGTGGATTGGATTCTATATGAAAATTGTTTAGTATTAAATCAGGTAAGAAATTGAATCTAATCTGCTGACAAGCCCACAGTTCTCTGTGAAATTCTTTTTAATCTTATGAAGTCTAAAAAGCTACGACATATTCAGTTTATGTATGATATAATGAATGAACAATACCAGGCTCTCAACATCAGAAGTTACTAGGTTGTCAGAGCTAAAATGTGTGCAAACAGGAGTTATGGCATTTGTCGGCAGCACCTTAACAATGGAGAGCTCTAAAATGTGGGATTCCCATGGAATTAACAAAGGAAAAGTAATCAAAATAATTTCTGGTGGTGACTTTTTTGCTTATTCTCCCTAGTTTGTTCCCCTTAATACCAGAAGGATAGAGAGGAGACAAAAGTGAGAGAAGATGAAGCTAAGAATGCTTCTGTTTATTTTAAAAGAATAAACAAACAAATGCAGTACTTCATCCAAAACAAGTTTTCCTGAAAATTCTTATGTTGAACAACTCTGACCACTTTTGTCAAAACTTTTCTTATCAACACCATTTAATAAATAAATCACTTTGCATGTTGCATGTTTTTTGTTACACTGCAGACAACTTAGTTAAATTTGTAAATCATGTAGTTTTTAAATGTGTAAATCTTTTGCTTTTGTACTGTTGAATTATTTATTCTGATAACCAAATGACTAATCAGCCAATAAATACATTATGTTTTTTAATATCATTATTTATATCCTCAAGTTCATGATCAAAATTGGGCATTTTAATGCTAAAGCGTTCTACTAGCATTTCCAGTATGTTTACTGAGCAGTACCTGGTGGAATAGTGGAGTAGTTGTTATTATGGGAATATAATATAGTGTGCAAACCTAGAATCATTTAGGAGTCAGTCAAAAAGGAATTCCTGGAAAAGTAACCCTGAAAAGAAATTTATTTATTTATTTATTTTTTAAACCTGGAGGTCTTCATCTAGATTGCAGCACATTTACTTCTTTTGGATGATTGCTAATACAGAACACAGAAAAATGAGAAAAACATTTCCACGTTTTACACATTGCTCTTGGTCTTCCTATGCTTAGAGATACAGAGAACACACCTAATGTGCAGATTTCAGTGCAAGCAAATGAGACTGTCTCAGTTAATTATGTATCATTAAAAAATTACCATCTATGAGATGATTGTTAATATACAGTCTTGAGATATGATCCCTTTTCTTGTTTCAGTTTGTTATACAGCGTAGGAAGTGTGGCAACAAAAGGATATCTTTTTGGAGTACTGAATCGTGGTGAAAGGGTAGGATAGCCTCAGATATATCTAGGACAACCCTGTGATGGGGGAGACAATGGGATCAAGAACGTGGCATGATAAATTAGAAACCACAATGACAAAAATTATTTTCAACCATAATTTCTGCGCATTCGCTTACAACTCTGCCCTGAATTGGTTTACTGAATTGGTTTAGTGATGGACTTGGTAGTGTAGGTTAATGGTTGGACTGGATGATCTTAAAGGTATTTTCCAACCTAAACGATTCTATGATTCGAAGCCGGAATCTAGTAAATAAGCTTCATTTCTGTCACTAAAATAGCTAAATTAAATGATTGTTTTCTCTGGCTGCAAATTTACTGTTAAAAGTGAAAGATAGCACATTGAAATATCTCATTAAGTAGAACTCCATAACACAACACGACAAGAAATCTGGAAAGCACAACAAAATTAATAGAAATATTTATGATGAGGAAACATAAAAACATTTTGAAATGTGAACTGGTTTGCATAAGATCCTAAGATCAACATTAAAGATTGACAGGTAGGAAATAGAGCCTATATATGGATCATCAAAAAGTCTAGTGTTCCGAGAACTGTGCCAGAACCGCAGAGGATTTCTAGCAGGTTAGGGTCAGTCATATTTTACAGCAGTGCAGGGTAGGGACTTAAGCAACACACTGTATTAGTCCAAAAAAATTGTTTGTAAGGGATTTCGTTTGCAGATTTCCTCAGCTCAGCCTGAAGCCATACTTTTTTCTTGTTAGAAGGGCTGTATTGGGTTTGTGCTGTAACTGTTAGTGTTTTTTAAGGGGAAAAAGAGAAAGACAGACTGGTCAGTGCAGTGTGTATAGCCAGACCAAATAATTTCAGGTATATTTAAAAAAAAAAAAATCATATATTAAATGTTTAAAATTGAAGATAGGTTGAAAAAACCGAAATAAGTGCATGCAAGTGGTAAAACTGCTTTGTTTAATTTTTAGCAGTAAGGGAGGATATAATTCATCCCAGTTACTGTTTACTGTACTGTTCCCTACAAAATAGGCAAAAGCCATATAAGAGTCAAATTTCATTTTGAACTAACACATTTCCTGCAAAATCTGATTTGTCAGGTACGGAATTTCCACAGTACAGTTTCTTAAAAATTTAATAAGGTGTTTACTTCTCGCATTCCTCTACGTTTTTTTTACACTTGCATATGGTTTCTACTCTAACACACTGCAAAAGCACCTCAAGCCTTGTCATATTTAAAGTACTATTTTAATAACTTAATTTCTCAGATTATTTATTTATTTTGTTTATTTCTTATCTAAGGAAATATATACCAAACAGCAACACATCTCATAGCCACAGTGTCTCTTTAGTAACTAAAGATCCTTTTTAACAAGTTTACTCTTCTACTGTTTTCAGGAGAGCTGTGCAAGAGTGCTGCTGTTCCGGGGAGCCAACAAGGAGATTAAGAATTACAACAGCCAGTCTCCATTTCAGGTAAAAAAGAAATACCCCTTCCTCCTGCCCCCCAGGAATGTTTGCAAGAAAATCTCATGTGAACTTGGTTTTGTGGAGAAGTTACGCTGCACAAGGCTGAAAACGGCTGTAGAGTAAGATAACTATCGTTTTGGAAACTGTGGCTTTTGTGTAGTGCAGTGAGTGAAGAAGTCCTGGAATAATCAGGAATGAGAGAAAAACACACTCACTCTTAGCTGTTCTGGTGACACTGTCAATGAGTTTGAGAATTCTATGAGCTGTTGATGACAAAACGTGAAATCACTGGTGTCCTGTGGTCGGATGTGCCTTGCTTTGTGATTATCTCCAGTCCTATGTAAGAGAGATCCAAGGAGTGAGTGGGCAGCTAAGCTTTGCTGGGCCCCTATTGACTTAGCCAGAAAGAAGCTCTTCCTTCCTTGGATGTGAGGCCAAAGAGCTGGGCTAAGTTTCAGAGATGGGGCTGATTTAATGCACTGTCAGTGGTAAAAGTTGAAGCTGTCATCTATGTCGCCAAAAGAAAATGAAGTCTTTCTTTGGATTAGTCAAAATTGACTAGAAGTTTTTTCACCATTTTCTTATATTAAAGAACTTTCAGAAAGCTTAATTAAAAATCCAAATGCAAGGAAATTGTTTGTCCAAAGTGTTGTCAGGTATGCCTGACAACCTTAAGGCCCGTATTTCTGAAGCGGTCTTAATTAGCCTGGATTTCAGAGAAACAGTCATAATGCAAACCGGCATATGAGAAATAGGGATGAAAGCCGTAATGTTTTAAGAAAAAGGAACAGAAAGAATTTTTTTCAAGTTACAGAACGTAGTGCTTCTAGAAGAATGATGGCACAGTACCATGTTGCGAAATGTGAGGGGGCTATTTCCCCAAACCATGTAGTCTTTCAACCAAAAGAAATCCCGATTTACCTTTGCTTGTTGTATCTTTCCCATTACATGCTCAGCCCACTTTGGATAAAGCTGGCATAGAATTCATGGAATACTGCCTTTTCTCGCATGCTTTGAAATAGTTGGAATATTAACCGTGTCCATGTGGGTCTCTGAATTGGCTCCTCAAAGTTTACGTGTACATAACACCTCTCAGTTTCAGGCTTTTAAAAAAAACCTCAGCCAAATGTTTCTGTTATCAGTTTAATTATCTCCATATTTTGAAGGTTTTCTGGACATAAGTTGTGCATCTCAAGAGCTTAAGAGTTCTGCCTGCAAATCCCAGCCAGATCATTGTTTACTTTTGGAACAGTTTTCCCAAAATTGGGGAAACAGTGCATTAATAATTTAATTTTAGGCACCATTTTTGGACTGCTAGTAGTTTGCCATCTAAATATATGCTAAGCACAAATTCACTAAGTACTATATAATACTTATCGCTGCACCTTAGAATTATGGAGTGATTGGAAAATGTAGTAAGAGAAAACCCTAATTATTGGAGGGATGGGTTCCAGTGTCATCTCTTTACTCTGAGAGATGAGACTATTTTATTACTTTATGTCTTTGAGAATAACTTTTCTTTTTGTTTTAGGATTTTATGTGGGGAAGGTAAACGGCAAGTAGAATAGTTTCCATGTGTTATCTTCTTTGTGCTGACCACTGCAACATTCTCGTTCTTCCTCTTACAACAGCAAAATACAGGGGAAAAAGGCAGAAAAGAAAATATTTGTAAAAGCTAGTGTTGGTAGTTGTAGGGCTTCAAGAAGTGAAGGATGACTAGCCAAAACTAAATAAAATTGAGTGAGCTCAGGAGAAAGAAAAAATAATTGCAAGAGAAGGGTGTAGCTGTGGAAGTGTACTTACTGAGCAGTGACCTGTCTCCTGTCCCTATGGAATACATTCCTATTTGTTGTTGTTTATTAGACATTAACACTTTTGGTGCTCGGGCTTTTGACTGGTCACTCTCCCCCTAGCATGGACAGGAGGACCGACTATTAGGTTGGCTTTGTTTTATTCTTTCTCAATCCACATAGTTAAAAAAAGGAAATTACTTTCCATCTTTTTACTCTGTGGTGTGTTACTTTTAGGTGTATAGAATGTAGGAAAAGCTCTAGTTTTTCCAAATGCATTGAGTAGAGAAAACCCTGACGCCAGCACTGCAATAAAGCAGCATTAGAATTAATTCTTTGCCATCTGTCTGTTGCTGACCCAGTCGATCAGACACCACAAGTGGAGCTGTTACAAAATTATGCAGAATCCCCTTGAGTTAATAGGATTTTGCATACTAAAAATGTTTACTCATGTAATCAGTAGCAAGGAACATCGAAGCATCTCATATGTACATAATGAGAATGGCTGTAGCTGCAGCATCTATTCCTTTGAGTAACCTCCATCATGTTCTTTTCTCAGGAAGCTAAAAGGATGGTTCTTTTGAATTGCTGTTTAGAATTGATGATATGAAAACAGTGCTGTTCTGTAAAACAGAAGTATCCAGACATGGAGAAAGTTGTGCATTGCTTTCAAGGCCTGCCAAAGCTTTATTTATTTTGATGAAAATGAGCAGCAGAGTTTGTATCTAGCATTAGTGTCCAATGAATGTGGTCTAATTTAACCAAAAAAAAAAAAAAGACCTGCATGTGTACATGTGTTCACTTCTTAACAAATCTCAGTGCTTATTAAAACAAGCATGGGTTTACTGGAAGGAAACGTATGGAAGGAAAACTAGTCTGGGCTGAACTCTGTACCACTCAATTCAGGTATCCCACACTGTGTACACATCTCTGCCTCTGTCCTTTTTGCCTTTTCAGTGTCTAGCAGATTCAGTGTTGGAATGGCATTGCCAGGTGTCGAGGCCATGAAAAAGTTTGCCTGTATTTCCCAATTAAGCACTAAGCTTTTATTAGCTACCTTTGAAGGAATGTGTTTCATCCTGACCTATGACTGGGGTCCTTTAAGTTAGTAAGCAGTGCTGAGTACGGTTGATGGCACCCCTAGCCGAAAGTCTGTCTGTGAATGCCAACCTTGATGCACTGTGCTGCTGATAGGATGTACTCTGCAATAACAGAACATGGGTCAGCAGAAATTTCTCTGTTTTTTGTGGGGTTCCCCCCTGCTAATCAGTATGAATGCTTGTATGGATGCGGGGTGAATCTCCTCCCTCTGTCTTCCCTGTGTATGTTCCAAGTAGATTAGGGCAGTTCCTGCATCACCGTCCTTGGTCTAAGTGTGAGAATTTTTTGTGTACTGTGCATTTTGGTTAAAGGCTGACTAGCAATTAGAGTTAAGATGAAACCTGCGCCGCATCATTACACTATATTGCCAATTCTGTTTATTAATCACTTACTTATCCATCCTGTCTTGGCTGGGTAATCCAAGTACCTTATACACTAATTATTCTGTGCTAACAGATGGAAAAAAAACCCATCGGCATTACAGAACTGGAAGTGCTAGCTAGTAATACACTCTTACATACATTGTGCGTGGCCATTTTTCTTTTGAAGTTACTAAGATCGGAGCAGGTCTGTGCTTTCATTCGTAGCACTGAACTTGGATGTGCCCTCAGCTAAGTACTGCTGATGCCTCCGTGACCATTCATCCCTTATGATAGAGCTTGCCAAAACGTGATGCTTGCCACCAACATACAGTACATCGATTTACAGCTCTCATATACTGGCTTATGAAATGCTGAACTGTAATTTCTGTTCCAGCTGTAGGTTAGCTTTAAAGTTTCCAGTGGTTTTAGGGTTGTTTTTGATGTTATGGTTTCTATTTTATTAGTAAAACCTCCCAAAATATCCTTTCAGAAAAGCCATGCTGTCTTATCAATGTCCATAGCTACTTAGTTCTCCACACATTTTACGTCCTCCTAGATTAATGTGAAATAATTTCTTACCTATCTGGCAAATACTAACCCATAACTCAGAAATACCAGAGTTTTATAGTGTTTACAAGCTGTTGAAATTCTGTTATGTAAGTTAAAATGAACATACACCTTGTTTAGCATGGTTTTCCTTTTTCTTTTAGTGAGCAGAAGCTCTATATGGATAATACATATGTTTTCATATGCGCTATAAAGCACTTTCAAGCTTGGAGCTAATAGAGCTAATAATTAGTCAGTGTTTTTGAAGCATATGTGTTCTGAACTATTCTGAGGTGCCATTTAGTGACACCTTTTAGTGGCAGAGTTGTACCTGAGAATGATTTCTCTCTCAGATGTACCTTGTTAATGACCATTGCTATCCCAAATCAGCATGGGTTATTAATGCGCTTATGTTACATAGATGGCAGGAGGAGCAGCAACCTGCCAGGTCCACTGCAGGTAGAATTGTTCCTTTCAGTGTGTTGGCTGTACATTTGTTTTCAATCGCTCGTGTTTTTTGCCAGGTTTGAATCATTTGAAGTGAAATTTTCCATGCCTGGTATCTCAGGCGGCATTGTTCGGAAAAACAAAATGATTCAGCTATTTCGGAGTATGGGTGAGGGAAAACATGTGTTGTTTTGCTCGTACTGAAAACCTCTGTTGACCCACCTCTCCTTGTCCCATCTCCCCTGTTGTGCTATGTTGTTTTGTTTTGCTTTGTTTTCTTTAATCGCCCTGCATGCTGTCAGCGATCTCCATGTTAATAACGTGGCAGTGTCAACCGGTTTGCAGTCTGACTCAAATAGAGGGGCTCCAAAACCGGACTGCTTTTGTCTGCTTTGGATTTGGAGGCTAAGCTGGCTGGGCGGAATATCGACAGGTGCAATTGGGGATGGGTAAGTAAACATTGAGCTTGGAGATGGGTGCGAAAATACGAGACCGGCTGAGACTTGGGCTGGGAGCTCGAGCCCGAAAGAGTAGAGTGGAGCAAGACCAAGATTGATAAGGGTCTTGGGGAGATTTTTAATCATCAAGGGCAGAAGAGAAAGAAATTCAGACTAGAGGGAAACTGGGACTGACTGTATAAAAAGGGAGTCTTGCTTGGGTAGTGACGCTGGGGAGGAAGCCTTGGACTGGGATGACTGTGCTGGGAGGCCAGGCAGGATGGGGCCGTCCCAAGGTGGAAGTGCAGGCCATGCTCCCAGCC